GATTCATTTAATCCTCAAAACTCATTAGAGGTAGGTACTATTATAATAACAAGGCCAAGGAACAGAGATTAAGCAGTTTGCCCAAATTCACATTAGCGGAGCTGGGATTTAAGCCTGGTCTGGCTGTGGAATCTGTATTCTTGATGACCATGCTATACTGCTTAAGAGTAACCTTGAGATTTACTCCAGTTAACAGAGGTTGTTTTTATTTCTCTAAAATGCCGCCAATAAGCCATAACAATAATCAATTATCTTGGTATCTCTTTTGCCCAAATTTACATTTTGAAAAAAACTCAAACATACCATAAAGATGAAAGAATAGTACAGAATCCAATCAAAGATCAGGCATTGCATGTCATGTCTTTGTTTCCTTTAATCTAAAACATTCCTCTACTTTTTTTTATCTTTCATGATACTGGCATTTTTTTTTTTTAATCCTGGATAGAGAATAACATACAAATTCAGTGTGTGTGTGTGTGTGTGTGTGTGTGTGTGTGTGTGTGTGTGTGTGTGTGTAATTAAAAAACTGGCATTTTTTAAGAGTCAAAGATAGCTGTCTTGTAATTGTCCCACAATCTGGATTTGTCTGTTTCTTCATGATGAGATTCAAGTTAAGCATTTTAAGGAAGAATACTGCATAGGTGATACATCCTTCTGCCTCATGACCACAGGTGGCCCATAATGCTAAGTTTGATGACTTGATTAAGGTGATCTTCCAGATCTCTCCATTGCCGTTATTTTGCTGGGTGCAGTGGCTAATGGTTGTAATCCCAGCACTTTGGAAGGCTGAGGTGGGCAGATCACTTGAGTCCAGGAGTTCTAGACCAGCCTGAGCAACAAGGTAAAACCCTGTCTCTACCAAAAAAAAAAAAAAAAATTAGCTGGGTGTGGTGGTGTAAGCCTATAGTCCCAGCTCTTTGGGGGGCTGAATTTGGAGGATCACTTGAGCCCGGTCGAGGCTGCAACGAGCTATGATTTTGCCATTGTATTTCAGCCTGAGTGACAGAGTGAGACCTTGTCTCATAAAAAAATAAAAAACAATAATTATCCCCTTGGTAATTAATAAATAGTCTGTGGGGTGGTACTTTGAGATCAGTGAAGATCCTGTTCGCAAGTGTCTTTTTACCCAACTGTGCATCAGTAGTAATTTTTGTCTGAGTCAATTTTTATTACATTGGTGGTTGCAAAGTGACACCTTTTAAATTTTTGTCATTCCTTCTACATTTACTAGATGGCATTACTTCATTAAAGAAAAACTCCCCCTCTTCCTTTTTTAATATCATTCTTCATTGATTCTTCTTTATATTAATTATGTTGTAGTTTATTGTTGTTATTTTTTTGAATGCTCAAATTGTCCAGATTTGGCCAATGCAATCTCTGTTCTTTTTTACCTCACAATGCATGTTAAACTAAGCTATTTTTAATGTCCAGAGAATTTCTAATATTTCCCATTCCCAACAGGAATTGAGAAAGGGACTACAGAAGTTGGGGGCTTATTCTGACTCTTCTTAGAAGTCTGTCTTCTTCCTGTGTACTTTCAGCCCAAAGTGAAACTTTTGAGTTGGGAAGAGATACTTCTGAATTAAACTACTGATCAGTGTCACCCAATTCTAATCCCAACCACATTTATTCTAGGCATACCATACTCCCTGCCATGCTTACCTTTCTGTTTTTCACCTGTGTCCTCCTTCCTGTGGCCTTCTGGTTCCTACCCAACTGTCCAGTCCATAGGCCTCAATAACACCTTTTTGCCCAGCCCTGTGGTAGCATTGGTCTGCCTCCTTTACCTACTCGAGAAACCCCTTTAGCACTAATTTATTGTTCTGTGTTTTTTTTTTTTTTTTTTTTTTGAGACGGAGTTTCACTGTTGTTACCCAGGCTGGAGTGCAATGGCGTGATCTTGGCTCACCGCAACCTCCGCCTCCTGGGTTCAGGCAATTCTCCTGCCTCAGCCTCCTGAGTAGCTGGGATTACAGGCACGCACCACCATGCCCAGCTAATGTTTTTTGTATTTTTAGTAGAGACGGGGTTTCACCGTGTTGACCAGGATGGTCTTGATCTCTCGACCTCATGATCCACCCGCCTCGGCCTCCCAAAGTGCTGGGATTACAGGCTTGAGCCACCGTGCCCGGCTGTTCTGTGTTTTTATCTATAGGATCTTACCTAGCCTTATGGCCTGCTGCCTCTGCCAATTTAAAAATAGCTTTGAGGTTGTCTGCAAGACAGTCAAGCTGCATTGCAACAGTGCATGTCTGACAAACACCACACATTGTCGTGAGTCCAAATTGCCTGGTGATAAACTGTTACATTATTTTAAGTATTTGTTTTTAATTTTTTATTTTTAATTGATAAAATTTTAAGCTAATGATATAATTGCTTTATTTTTATTTACTCATTCAGAGTTAAACTCCCTAAATTTCTGAACTACTCTCTTGTTGAGAGTCAAGTTCTCAGTTATAAAATTTAATAATAGAACTGCATATGCATAAAGGACCAAGACAAAGGAATAGAAAGGCTAGGGAGTAACATTAATATTCACACACTGTGTACTGTGCTCTCTGTTTGGTACTTTGTCCCCAGTGGTAATTTATTCGTATAGTGTAAGCTGGCTTTATATGCATGAGGTCTCAGGTACCTCTGCCTTATAGAACAGATATAGAACTTGTTTTGGTTTTTTTGTTTTTAGAATTTTATAAGAGTACAAGTGATGCTGTTTTATTTGAAGCCTGAGAGCTTCTGGTTCCATAACCAGAAATTGCTACCTGGCTCTTCTAATGTAATGGAGGGCTTTTGCATTCTTAGACCATCCAACTCTGAAGTTGCTCTGAATTTCAGACCTTTCTTTTCACAGAACAAACACTCAAGTGCTTTCAAGTGTTTTTGTGTATATTTGGTTTATTAGCACCAACTTCATGACTTCTAAAATGTGACTGCTTTCATGTCCAGGTAGCTTGAATACAGGTATCTACCACTGATACAGGGTGTAATAAATAATGCTTGGCTACTTACACAAAGATAGTGTTGCTTATTTTTCAAAACTTTTTTTTTAACGAATTGTATTATTTCCTTCTCGCCAAGAGGTGGGTAGAAAAGCATTGTTAATCTCCTTTTACAGATAAAGAAAAACAAGGTTAGAGGTGCTAAGTGCCGTAGCCGAGTGCCAGGTCTTCTGCCTGCAGTTCTGGGTTCTCCCCAAGCCCATGTTTCTCCTTTCTCACAATCTTCACCTTCTGACCCTCACCATCACCCGGAATACTTGTAATTCTGGAAAAGACACTCAGCTGCACAGTGGCATACTTGACCTTCATGCAGTCGGAAGCTTTGGATGATTTCCCATCCAAAATGTTAGAGATGAAATGAAAGCAAAGTCGGCATCTGACAAAAGTTGCTTTTTCCCTTCTGCATTTTAGGACCTCAAGTAATGTTTATCCAGAAATTGCTATTATACCATACATTCATTGTACATTAGACAACATAGGCATACAACCTGACAAATTAAAAATCTCTTAAGCTACACACCAGATTCCTACTCAAATTTAAAAAAAGAACTAAGATGGACACAGTGTATTTTTCCCTGTCAAGTCTTCTGTTACAGGGCCAGTATACGTGGAAGCAGAGAATGGGGTGAGTGGACAGAGCATATGCCAGATGAGGATCTATCAGCAATGGGAGGTGCCCTCGCTTGAGCATCTCCACCCCTGCTCCTCTCAAAGGGCCGCCTTTCATTGCATTCACCTGTGATAGTAGGAAGAACGCAGGCACACTGACGACGAGGAGACAGCGAGATTTGTGCTCTCCCTGCGTCTGAGGCAGAACAGCACAGGGTACAGAGCAGTCTGCTGAGAGGCTAGCTCATCAGGGAAGCACTTGTCTTCCACCTTGGGCTTTGACTGAGCTCTGGGCAATTGGGCTCTAGGAATCAATGGAATAATCCTAAGCAGAGTTACTATATATCACACTGTGAAATGTTCCAAGTAGGTGGCCATGTTTTCAAAACATGTCTTTTCCTTTTTTTGTTGTTGCCATTTCATAGGTTTAGGTTTGGGTGTATGTTTTTCCTGTCTGAATGGCACTTGAATGTTTGCTGACTCCTACTCTGTATGACTGAGGCGAACAGCGGTGGACTGATCCATGCCGTCCCAACATCTTTCATTATCAAAGCAGTCTCTTCTTTTTTGACAGTTGGAGAAGCATCTATAGGGAATCCCTGAGGAGCGTTCATGAAGGTGTTACAAGCCCAGAAGAAGCACATGAGCACTGAGCTGACTATTGAGCCGGAGATGCCTTCAGACGGCAATGGCATCAACTTGTTAGGCTTTGGGAGTGAGCAGCTGGACATCAGTGATGAAAGTGATGTTATCAGTGCACTAAATTATATCTTGCCTTATTTCTCAGACGGAAATGTAGAAGATGTGGAATCAATGTTGTTACCGTTCATTAAACTGCTTTTTTCAGATTCACAAGATGGTGACAGGCCCCGGGGTATTTTGAAAAACAATACAAAGAGCCCCTCTCTTCAACCTGCATCCAACAACTCATCTTAGGAAAATAAATTGAGAAAGCTGTATTTTCAGGAAAATATGTTAATATGTTACATGCAGAAATTCAACAAAAAATTGATGAGGTTAAAAGGGAAGAAAAAACTGCTGTGCTTATGCAGTCCAGCCTTTTAGGTCCCAATTTTTTATTTTTTATTTTTCTTTTTCTTTCTTTCTTTTTTTTTTTTTTTTTAAGAGACGGGGTCTCGCTATGTTGCCCAGGTGTAGTGCAGTGGCTATTCACAGGTACAATCCCACTACTGATCAGCACGGGAGTTTTGACCTGCTCCATTTCCGACCTGGGCCGGTTCACCCCTCCTTAGGCAACCTGGTGGTCCCCTGCTCCCGGGAGGTCACCATATTGATGCCGAACTTAGTGCGGACACCCGATCGGCATAGCACACTACAGCCCAGAACTCCTGGGCTCAAGCGATCCTCCCACCTCAGCCTCCCGAGTAGCTGGGACTACAGGCACGCGCCACCACGCCCGGCTTAGGTCCCAAATTTAAACAGCTCAGAGTTTTCAGACAAAATTAGAAACTGCCCAACCACAGGAAAACAACTTGGCAAAGATTCAAAGTGTAGGCAAAAGCCTGCAGAGAGCAAACAGAGTCCTCATGGGCCCAAGGAGCATCCAGAAAAGGCACTTCAAAGGGGGGAAAGCAGAGCATCAGGAGGGAACAGAGTGCCCAGGCATTTGTGGAAAACACTGCCAAAGGAAAAAGGCCTGGGAGTGCAGCCCCAAGGGAGCTGAAACAGCCTCACGTGGTACATAGGCCCGAGAAGTTGGTGGGAGAAGTTAGTCTACACCAAGCCTTCGTTCATCCAAGAGCATAAGACAGCGGTCTCCTCTTTGCTGAAACCCTTCTCCATGGGCGGGCCCTCCGCCTCCACCCTTGCAAAAGCCCTACCTGAGGTCAGAAACAGACCGAAAGACTTAACCTACACCATTTTGGTTTTAGAAAATGCAAAGCCTAGAGTTAAAAATATGAAGGCTGCTAAACCATTCATACATTCCAGAAAAAAATACCACCGCTTTCATAAAACTCGCTCCCGTGTGGTTCATAGAACACCCAAGCCCAAAAAGAGTCGTAAGTTCAGAAAGGAAAGTTCTCTTAACAGACTAATGCTCGCGAAGAGGGCTCCGTTCTCTGCAGTGAAGAACCTCATAAATTCTCCTTCAAAAGGGGCTTTTTCATATTTAGGAGACTTGAGTCCTTTTCCAGAAACATTTGCTCCTTCAGAACATTCTATAGAAAACACTAAGGTTAAAAACACCACTGCAGGAAATGCCTTTGAAGAAAACATTCTTATGGGAAATTCACCATCTCTGAAAACACAACCTACAATAATCCTCCTGAGGCAGATTCTGCTGGGACTGCATTCAACTTAGAGCCAACTGTTAAACAAACCAACGAAACACAATTGGAATACAACAACGTGGGCGCTGACCTGTCCCCCAAGTCCAAAAACTTCAATTACCCATTGCTCTCGTCCCCAGGTGATCAGATTGAAATTCAGCTAAACCAGCAGCTACAGTCCCCTCATCCTCATTTGTCATGTTATCTGGAGCTTGAAAGTGGGCTGCTCTGAGACCCGTGTGCAATTAGCCTGTGCTAAGCTCATCTTCAGGACAGTCCTCCTGATGAAGCTTCTCAGTGAACAGCAAGAAGAAAAGGTGTCCAAGGCAGAATGGGATACGGACCAGTGGAAAACTGAGAACTATATAAACAAGAGCACGGAAGCCCAGAGTGAACAGAAAGAGCAGAAGTCAAGTGAGGTGAGGACCACACAGAAAGGTGAGACCAGGACTTTCCCATCATTTAGCATGTGTTGGAAAAGTGCCAATACAAGAGAACCTGGGACTTGCAGGCCATAGCTTGTCTTGGCCGTGTAACTTTGGCCATGACAGTGATCTCCCACTTTGCTTATTTAGAGAGTGAAATAGATTATTACACAAGATAAACTATAGGTCTGGCATGGTGGCTCACGCCTGTAATCCCAGCACTTTGGGAGGCCAAGGTGGGTGGATCCCTTGAGATCAGGAGTTTGAGACCTGCTTGGCCAGCAGTGTGAAACCCTGTATCCACAAAAAATAACAAAAATTAGCTGAGGATCACCTGAGCCCAGGGAGGTTGAGTCTATAAGGAACTGTGATCACACCACTATACTCCAGTCTAGGTGACAGAGTGAGACACTCTCAAAAAAATAAAAAATAAGGCCGGGCGCGGTGGCTCAAGCCTGTAATCCCAGCACTTTGGGAGGCTGAGGCGGGTGGATCACGAGGTCAAGAGATCGAGACCATCCTGGTCAACATGGTAAAACCCCGTCTCTACTAAAAATACAAAAAATTAGCTGGGCATGGTGGCGCGTGCCTGTAATCCCAGCTACTCAGGAGGCTGAGGCAGGAGAATTGCTTGAACCCAGGAGACGGAGGTTGCGGTGAGCCAAGATCGTGCCATTGCACTCCAGCCTGGGTAACAAAAGCGAAATTCCATCTCAAAAATAAATAAATAAATAAAATTTTAAAAAAAATAGCCTTTAAGCTACTCATTTGGCATACCAGGGTTTCAAATAGTTAGCTTTCATCCTGTTTTTTTTAAAAAGATTGTTGTTTCTATTTTTTTTTTTGTTTTTTTTTTTTAAGCTCACTAAAGAAGTTCCAGGATACGCCTATAACAACAAACTCATCTTGGCAATATCTGTGACTGTAATAGTGATGATTTTAATTATAATTTTCTGTCTCATTGAGGTAAAGACAATAATTAATTCAGATTTTCAGAATGTAATCTCGTCTTTGTGTAGATTCAGAGCCCACAAACTGAAAATCAAAGCCCCTTTCCCACCTACTACTACTTGACATTCTTCTTTAGTCGTTTAAGGCTGAGGTATGCTTTGTTCTTTGACTGCAGTGTGTCTTCCAGAATTTTTAAAGGGTCCTCACTTCCAGGAGATCTCTGTGAACTGAAACCAAGTTAATGCCACTAGGCTGTTTTAAGAAGTTAAGTTGATAAATTAGCAAAATTTCTCTCGCCCAAAACCATGTCAGCAATTGAGTGTACTCACCAACTTGTCCTTTCTCTGCCACTAATTTATTTCCTTGAAATGATGAATGATTATGTCTCATCATTTCAGCATTTCAAGAAAACAAATTAGCATTTCAAGGAAATGCTGAAATGATGAGAGACATATAATCTCCACCCTCACGGAGCTGCCATCACCTTGGAGAGGAAGGACAAGCCAAAAGGGAGAAGTCTCGTCTTGTAGACTTACTAGACTCACTTAGTGTCTTCCTTCTCCAGTGTGTAGGGCGTTGCCTAAATAGGTCCAGTTAAAGGACTACAGGGTAGCCATCTTTTTAAAAAGTAGTTGGCCACTTATTTAAGTTCACAGGGGAGGGGGAATGTCTCCCCTCCAGCCCTCCTGAGCTCAGGCCCTCTGTGAGATGTGTCTCCATTTCTCGGACACCATATGAGACATTCCTCCTCGGATTAGAGATGCTCAATCTGCATTACAGATCTAAAGCCTACATCTGGCTACTCTGGGGCAAATCCTGTTTATAGCACCCATTCCCAGAGCTTGCCTCTGTTTGCCTTTT